TCGAGACTTCTGCCGTGCAGACTTCTCATGAAGGCGCACCTTTCTCAAACAAGTTACACTGGGACCAGCTCCAGTGGACGTATTATATAGGACCATTGTCCAGGAAGTTCACGAGCTTGACGTGATGTTCGTCCCAAAAACAGTCCGCAGTCGGATGAGTCTCATACTGTCTAAAAAGATTCGATGTCTTCTGAAAACGAAATATCAACTTTTTTTTCAAAAAAATGACTACAGGAGACACAGAAACTGAGGTGGCATTTTGTGAAGTGCGGAACCGCTGTAAATCAGAAATCTGCCGATGGAACATACGAATACAAGCCACCATTCTAGACCTCTCAGGTAAAACAAAAATGTACTGTTTGGAAATATGGGACGTCGCTGCAGAAAAATTCATCCGCATTCTCATTCAAAGGCAAGGACAGGAAATCCACAAGTGAAATCCACAATTGGTATCGGATGTCTACAGGGAACACTATCAGGTCTGTATTCAGCCCCAAAGTCCTCGTCACATCCACTCTTATCAAGGCGTAACTACGAACAGCCTCTAACCCACTTCGCCTTCACGGTGAAAGACACTCGTCAACTCTTGCACAAGATGAACACATTTTGCGCGTTGGAGCTCGACGTGGTCCATCCGAGGGTACTAGAGGAAACGTGGTCTACAGTTACAAATCATTATGCCTGGCGTTTCGTCAGTTGCTTGACGAAGGCTGCCTTCCCTCCACTTGAAAGGCGGTGCCAATCTACAAAACTGGTAACCGATTATCGCCTGGCAGCTACAGGCCTATAAGCCACACTAGCGTGCCGTGCAAGGTGACTGAACGTACTCTGAGGCCAACTATCCTAGACGACCTTACTTCCAGCAGTCTGATATCATTAGCTCAAGATGTATTCCTCTTAAAGAGTTCTTCTGTGACAAACATGCTCGTGTTTATGGACAGCTTAACCCAAGCCAGGGACGAGGTACTCATATCGAATGCCATATTATCCAACTTCTCAAAAGCATTTGATAGGGTCCCACACGTCCCGCTGCTCCACAAACTCCAGTCTTACGGGATTCAAGGAAAAACTCTATAATGGATCAAGGCTTTTCTATCAGACAGATCATTCCGAGTGAGAATAGGCTCGGCTTACCCTTCTCCGGCGCCGGTTGTCATTGGAGTTCCTCAAGGCACCGTTCAGGGACCACTGGTGCTTCTAATCCATACCAACAAGTCCGTGTCTATTTTTGCGGACGACTTGAAATCCTGGAGTTTCAGTGCCAGTGTTCTCCAAATGGATGTAGAGCCTGTAAAGCAGTGGTTGTTGGACTGGCACCTTCCTCTAAATGGCGAAAATTGCGTCCAATTATCATTTGAAGGAGACTCAGCGAATGCCTTTGTCATGCATCGTAAGAAAGGATCAGATGACAACATAAGGATAGACGCCAAAAAGGATTTGGATATCTGGGTTTCCTAAAAAGTTTCGTCCCCACTGCACCATGAGAAATCTGCCCTAAAGGCATTCGCCATTTTAAGGATGATCCGACGCACCTTTTCCGTATTACTCGCATTGACTTCCAAATACTCTACGGGGCCTGTGTCAGACCGCTCCTGGAATAGGCCAACCAAACTGTCTACTCAGAGCGCACGAAAGCCGTCACCCTCATTGGACGTGTCCAGCGAGCCGCTGCGAAAATGGTTGCCGGCCTCAAATCCGTGGACTACGATACCCGTCTCCCGGTGCTTGATCCCTTTCCTCTGGAGTATCGTCGCACCCGATGGGACGTAATTTTTACTTATGCCCTGTTTGAACAGAGCTCGGCTCACAGGGTTTCCACCGTTGACCCAGCAAACACACGGCAGGTACACAACAAGAAAATTTTCAGGCTTAGAGCGCACACATTCATCAGGCAAACTTTTTTACCATTTCGGGTAGTAGCTGCGTGGAATGGCCTTCCTCCGACGGTTGTCCATGCTCCTTCTAGAACCCATTTTAAAGCACTAGTAGACATTTATTTATGCAAATCCTTGCACTGGCAAGCACACGACCCCGCGCTGAGAACATAAAGAGCAGTGATACACCATTTTTTTCACTTGTGCCTTTCAGGTGGACGTCAGCCGCTGAACGATAACAACAAAACCAACTCGGGAAATTTGGGCAAAAGCCTCGATCCTGTATATCAATCCGGGAATCCGTGCTATCAAGCCGAAGGAACGGAAGAGGTGGTTCCAGATTTTACATGCGAAACCATTTGAGAAACCCGTGGAATACGCCAACTTTGGTGTTCATTTGAACAATATACCTGCGACTACGTGATCAGTATCGTGCTCTCCGCCACCCCAAGGAAAAATACTAAGCAATCTATTTCGCGGATCTCCGAAATCGTTCACCAGCATTCCACGGCGCTCAGTATTCGCAAAACGGAATTGAATTTTCGAGGGTTTTGAAGTATCCCTAATGAACAAAACGGTTTAGCAATTGAATTCAGAATACCACTTCAAACTTCCAAGCCTCGTTTAGGCATTCCGTGGTCTCGGCGATGCTGGGAACCCACTCCACCAGAGTACCGCCAGAGGTATGATTGCTGCATTGGATAATTAAATATATAAGCTGTATAAACATAAATGTGGACTAAGACGGCTTTCTGTTTGAGTACATGCGCAACAAAATGCAACATTTTGGTGCAAAATGTTTCACTCCACTTTTAAAGATCTTGCCACCAAGAGTATTCTGCGGCTAATGAGCACCCCATGTTACTCGAAACTTTGAACTGCACACGAACTACTTATAATTTGTGCCGTACTCCCACCGTATTCCTAGTCTCCAGAGTGCTTCATCGAAACAAAACGATGAGAATCCAAAAATGAAATTTTTCAAGTGAATAATGAACCATCTCTCGTCAGAGAGAAGGAAGCCATGCTCCACAGTTTCTGCGAGCCCCGTTATTATTGCTGCCAGTTGAAAGTTTGGAAGTGACAAACTTATCTTTTCCGTTAATGTTGACAAATTCACATTCGCCGAAATCCAATTATAATAGAGAAAAAATTAGAGCACTTGCAAACTGATCCACTTATTTTTCCTGGTAACGACAAAGGTTGCGCGGGGTGGGTATCATCAGTGGTGGGCGGGGGGCTATTGCTCGCCTTTTGGCCCTCAAATCGGTTGCAAGACTGAATTGGTTTGGTGCTAGCTAAAAGTTGGCCCTAAAAGTCTCCGAAATGGTTTGCTGCATTATCGTTAATTCGCCTCGAAATTTTGTTCAACCGTCTTCTCCAGGATCATTTATCTGGAACGGAAGAATACTTCCGTGGGCAAAGAAATCCCCCGTAATTTTTGCTGATAATAATGTTTTTCGGTACCAAGGACCTATTTTGAGGGACTATGTACCAGACTTCGGTTCCTGATTTAAACCTATTTAACTTAAAGGCGCCTGTGGAAGAAGGCAGACAGTGGAGATCAAGTGATTTCAACTTCGCAGCCGCGGGAATAAGTCTAGTTAAGACGTATTAGGGAATGTCGTGTGTTTTCATATTTTGACCGGCTTTTGTCGAACACTGCAAGCCTTAGAAGTTATTGCAGGCGGAACAAACGATAGTAAGTGAATTTTTGGACTAAAATCGTGAATTTCGAAGCCTTTCACAGTTCATGTTTTTTCTGTCCACTGTAATGCTCGGTACAGACAATCCTGAAGGTAGTTTTGGACTGTTTTTAACACCACTTTGGAAGTAATTATGTACGGTTTTGCAGCAGAAGACTATGTAACTATTGATCGGTATCCCTGCGGGTTTCCGGTGTACTGCAAACGACACGCCTGTCACAACATGGCGGCATTTGCAAGTCCTCAGAATGAAAGGTGCGTAAAATGACACGGAATCCTTGTAAATTGGCATCGAGTTAACTTTGGCGGTCGCCTCCTGTATCCGCACTGCACACGCCCGCAGTGTTAAACAGCCTTGTTGCTTTTTGCCAGCAGCACGCACAAATATCACACAGTCATCACTCATGTCTGAGCAGATACGTGATCACTGTGCAGTTGTCGCTTATTATCACAATCACATGCAAAATTTGTTCAAGGTGTCGCACGACCATGCCCAACCGCAGAAAACTTTAGCACCTGCACAGTCACGCTCAAATACGAAACGCCGCTCTGTTCAGCGTTGCAATTTTTGTTTAATAAATTCGATAAAGTTATTACCGCTCAGGATGTATACTACTACCTTGAAGTTGTTGACCGGTTCCACTGAATAATTGAGGGATATTTGGATTTACAGTGGTGGATGAAATGCTCTTCCTCCTGACAAAGCCTCGCGAGTTTGGGCTGAGGCTTGTGTTGCAGCAAAGGAAAGGTAACTACAGCCAGAAATGTTTCTCGAGATGGATGCATACGGCTTCTTAGATGTAGCAATTGTCTATGATAAGATATCAACGGATTCGCGCGAGTCTCTTTGCAGCAATTAGCGTGTAGCATGTAGATAAAATCCTATCAGAGATGGCACGGGTACTTGGCGTCCGATTCTGCATGCATTTTTGGAAGGCCAACGGTTTACCACGGTGCATAAACTGCTTCACTTCTACAGTGGGTGAAAATTATAAGTGGAAACTTTGTGATGGACAAAATGGCAGCGCAAATTAGAGCGGCCACAGTCGTGTTCACCTGATGTGTCATGTTGTGCAGCTTTCGTGTCCGCAAAACTATCATGAAGCACTGCGTATTACATCACAGCTGTGCGTTTTGGTTGACGCTCAGCATTCACACAACGGAACGGAATTTTCGAAGGATGTGATGTGTCGTAGTGGACCGAAACAATCAGGAAATTGATTTCAGAGTGCCAGTCTAAACTTCTGAGCCCCGTTCAGGCATCAGGGGGGTTCAGCGATGCTGCCAAATTATTCCATCAGACTTTTCGGCCCGAGGTATAATTGTTTCAATGGAAAATGAAATTAGGCGGGCTGGAAAAATGTGAGCCTAGGCTAGAATGGTTTTTGGTTTGAGCACATGCGTAACAGAATGCAAGACTTTAGCGGAAAAGTTCAGCTTCACCCATAAATGTTTTGCAGCTAAGAGTATCACGCGACAAGTGGGCCCCGTTGTGGTTAGGGGCCAACTTCTCAACAAGCATATCTGATTCCATGTCTGAAGCCACTGCATCGCGCTGTAAAAATTGATTGTGCGCTCCATGGAATACGAAGGGTGATTATTTAAAACAAGTTCCTGAAGAGAAGTGCAGATTATAATGGTTTTGGGTTTGATCATACGCAGAAAAGAGATAAAAATTTTAAAGAAAGGCTGTTCTCCTACATAGAGAGGTTTTAGAAGAGGTTCCGCATCCTGGATAGGGATTTTTATTGAATAAAAGATCAGTGGAATTAGAGCCAAATTAATTTTTACAAAACCAAGAAATTTTTGAAACTGAGAATTCTATTCCGGCTGCGCATTTCGGTGCTAGATATACTGGTTGTTTCTTGTTTAAATGAACGACCTGTTAAGGTCATCGGCTGCCGACAATTCGCATGCGATCACTAGTTTGTGAGATAAACCAGCAAATTCTGGCACTTTTAACTTCCACGATATTCACTGAACAATATCTACGATTTAAGAAATTTCTAAGATAACCACAATCAGGTTGATACTTGAATAACGTTTTGATCCGCTATACTCATCGTAAGTTACGAATTAAACGAGCTCCTTCAATCACTCTTGACCAATCTTGACAGTCTGTGGTGAAGCCCGCCTTGTGTGCATTATAGTCAACTAACATTACTTTATTCATTGTGGAGTACATATACGAATACGCATCATTGTAAATCGGTCTCATTCGCAGTCATGCTCAAATAGTCAGGACATAATGCGTGGCATTCAGATATCTAAATGTAAATTATCACCGTCTCGGTGAAAGGTCTTTTCCTTTGAAACATACGGGTTATATTGTTACGAGATTCCCTGAAAATAAGGGCATCCAATACCCGTCATCATGACAACTGGCAGTGTTATTGCTTATCTTGGCTACTTATCGAAACTTCCGGGCTGTCGCTCTACACACCGCTGATTACACGACCTCAACTGTGCAGTATGGTCGAACCCACCCGTAAACGACAGTCTTTTACACCCATAGATTTTGTCCATCTGCCATGCCTACGCCTGAAAATAATAATAATTGTTATTTTATTCCCTAACTTGGAAGGAGCGTAGCAAGTGAGTCATGATCAACCATCTTTTGTGCACGTGGTGGACAACGATACGACGCAGGGAAGCTTAGACCAAAGAGACAGGCTTAGCACGTGATAATTAATTATAGTTTGTAGAAAAAAACAGAACAATTGGGGTTCAACCAGTTCAACGATGAACCTGGTTGACTTTATTTATAGTTGAGAAAAATTGCTAGTCCTGAGTGACCTTGAGGGGTTTGGTAAATGGCTAGAGTAACGAAAAGTAAAAGAGGAGAGATGGTAACGCTCAAAATTAAGGCAACCGGAAAGATTTGTCTAAGAAAGTTTTGCACTGTAGTTGGATAAACTCACTAGTGCCACTGATTGGGAAGTCGGGTGTAAAATATATTTATGGGGAGAGGTAGTGCGAACGCATACGATCAAACGAGCAACGTGAGCAGAATCGCTGAACAAGCGGAGGAGCAAAACTGTGATGGTTTAGTCCAAAACAGTGGTTCAGAGGGCTTAGTCGATTTCACTCAAGAGGCCTCTGGGGTGAAGTAAACAGATTTTTAATACTTGCAAGTGAGGGGACGGGTGATCTAGAGGGGATATTCAAGGGTACGAAGGAAATAGTTTCGGAAGTGCTATCAGACTGGGTATGGCAGTGCCGATTACAGATTCGTTTAGATACAAGGCACAGAACGATTGCAATGGACACCGACAGGAAGTGCAAAGCTTCGGAAGAGAACGGAATGCGGCAAGAACAGCAAGATCTGGTGAGTTTCAGGACCTATCAGATGGATGAAGTTCATCAACAAAAAAAACTACTTGGAGTTTGAGTTGTATTAACAAGCGGCTAGCATTCCTGAGGTGTCTAATAGCCATATCACTGAAGAAAAGCACAAGAACCAAGATACAGCCAATTTGTTTCAACTTAGAAAGAGGAAACCGATAGTGAGAGGTCAGGTTCGAATCACGGAACTAGCGGTAAGTAACTTCGCGTTTTAACCACTTATGACAAGAGACAGCAAACACACGTCCAAAATAATGGACTAGTTTTTCTGAAATTCGCTACGCCAGTTGAACAGAATCATAGTATGAAATGAACAGAAAACGTAAGGAAAAGGGTCATCAGTCACCGGAGCACTGCTGTCAGCACAAGACGAAATGCAGCGATAAGCTAGAAATACTTAGATGCTAGCCTTGTTTGCTGTTAACGAAGGATTACCTATTTCACTGCGTTCTTATATTCATTTATTGTAGGCGAATACTCCGGGGGGCATTGCAGGAAAGTGTGTTATGTTTAGCTGACGGAGTGAGCTTTGGCGGGGTGCAAGCCCCACTGAGGCTGATGTAAGAAATGGGCGTTGACTTTAGCGAAGTATGTTTCTATTTCTAGGTTGAATCGGTACAACCGTAAAGGGTAGTCACTCCAGTTTTCGCTTTTCATTGCTTTTTCTGCTGGGCTCTCAAGCAATCGCAGCTACGCATGACTTAAAATGGTTTCCAATGATGGGATAAGGATAACGTTGTAGATGCCTGTTGCTAGTGGTTCTGCCATAATAACATTCTTCCAAATTATTCATGAACGGTGACGCGGTTTTCACCATTTCCCATGTAGAACGCTACGAGTGCCCCTGGACTGGATATTCAAAAAGGCCTCTGTTTTTGCTTACTCAACCCAACAAGTAGGATGATCCACCTACACCTTACTTTTCCTATTGGCCCACTAAGTATCTACATTCAATTGTTGGGGTTATTCTGTCGATTCCTCTATTAGCTAACCTTTGTCCAACTTATCTATTTGCAAATAACATTTAGTCAAGTATTGGCTGCACCATGCTAAAAATTCAGCAAAGCATCTCCTACCACAAGCAACACTAGCTATGGGTGAAGCCCGTTGGATCACGGTGCTTATCCTGCGCACGTATATTGATGTGATTGTCTTTGCGTTTTGTGCACGTTGTAAGATCAGCAGCCTATTGAGCCTATTGAGCCTTTCCGAAATGGTTGTTCGACGAGGCAATCCAAAGTAACTTCGTTTGTGCCACTGCCATATATTCAGCCGCAGTTAAAAGGGGTTTTCTTGCCGCGAGTTCCCGGAACCCACTTGGGACAGTCATGGCCAGTCAGGCTCAGTGATTAATCCGTCGCCTCACCTTTACAACCGAAACGGCTTCTGCATGCGAAAATGAACTTACTTGTTGACCCCACTATGTAAACCGGCGCGGTGATAACTGATAGATTCCTGTCCTCTCTCAATATGGGCCGTGTAATCTCACGGACAATGAAACTACTGTGCCTCTCAACTAACAAGCGGCTAGCATTCCTGAGGTGTCTAATAGCCATATCACTGAAGGAAAGCACAAGAACCAAGATACAGCCAATTTGTTTCAACTTAGAAAGAGGAAACCGATAGTGAGAGGTCAGGTTCGAATCACGGAACTAGCGGTAAGTAACTTCGCGTTTTAACCACTTATGACAAGAGACAGCAAACACACGTCCAAAATAATGGACTAGTTTTTCTGAAATTCGCTACGCCAGTTGAACAGAATCATAGTATGAAATGAACAGAAAACGTAAGGAAAAGGGTCATCAGTCACCGGAGCACTGCTGTCAGCACAAGACGAAATGCAGCGATAAGCTAGAAATACTTAGATGCTAGCCTTGTTTGCTGTTAACGAAGGATTACCTATTTCACTGCGTTCTTATATTCATTTATTGTAGGCGAATACTCCGGGGGGCATTGCAGGAAAGTGTGTTATGTTTAGCTGACGGAGTGAGCTTTGGCGGGGTGCAAGCCCCACTGAGGCTGATGTAAGAAATGGGCGTTGACTTTAGCGAAGTATGTTTCTATTTCTAGGTTGAATCGGTACAACCGTAAAGGGTAGTCACTCCAGTTTTCGCTTTTCATTGCTTTTTCTGCTGGGCTCTCAAGCAATCGCAGCTACGCATGACTTAAAATGGTTTCCAATGATGGGA